CTGCAACAGTATCAAACATCGCAATTTATTGTATGATCCTTAATATTTGAGTGCTTAATTTGACTCGCCAAATGAGACATGTTGTTGACAGATTTATTTTCCTAACATGCACTCAGACCATTACTTAGGTGAATAAGTGAATACTTCTTTCACCATTGTCAGCCACTGCTAATCTATAGATTAGATAGATATAGTTTGTTTGAACAGTTTAAACTTCAAGGGACTGTTCACCCCAAAATGAAATATACATATTTTTCTTCTCACCTGTAGCTCTATTTATCCATCTAGATTGTTTTGGTGTTTTTTGTACCAAATCTATCAAACTAAACCCATCAATAGCTGATGCTAGGTGAGCTAACTAGTGTTACAGCTCAGATGAGGAGGATACCATGAATGATCCTACGCTCATGACAGTGCAGGATCTGTCATGAGCATGAGGCTCTCGTCCACTGCTGTGCAGGGATGCATAGAAAGAAATCAGTTCCTACATGAAACTCACAACAAGTTTTGTGGATTATCTCGAGTAGCAGTTTTTTTGTGCTTTGAGCACCACAAACCGATCCTTTATATTGGAGAGAAGGCCGACATCTCCAAAACTCAGCAAATCACATCAAAATAATCTAGATGCATAAATAGCTCTACAGGGAAGAGGGAAATGTGTGTTTTTGATTTTGGGGTGAATTTTCCCTTAATTCCCTTTAAAGGGTTTAGTGAGTGATGTTTACAGTGGAACAGTCGGTCTCTCATCTCCATTCATACTAATCCTCTTTATCCTGCAAACATTCCCTCCACTTGGCATAATCAGCCCGTCTGTGTGCAAAACACTGAATGATTGCTGATATCTGGGACTTTTTGCAGTTAAATATTTACCCCTGAGAGATTGCTTCCACTGTGCGCATCATTTATCTCAAGTTTGGACTACTTTTTATCTGCCAGAGGATGTCTGTGGGAGTAGATTTATCGCATTTGCAGTGTGGCGGTTTAGGGAGTCAAATCAGATTCTGCTCATTTTTTGCAAGTCGTAAAGTTAGTCATTCCCAGTAATGTCAGATCAGCATCCCTGAAACCTTTCATAACACACTCTCTGTGTTACACTGCAGACGACCTGATGTCATGACTAACAGGGAATTTCCAGACACCTGCTCTCTGTGTGCAGCTCTGCAGAAGTTTGAAGAATAGATTTGTGTGTTTGTGTGTGGGGCACTTTTTTTTAGTCATGCGCATGTTCATACCTGCATGCACACACTGTATTTACATGTTAGAGTGACATCAACAAAGACTCCCCAAAGTAACAGATGCCACCTATTAGATAAAACAACAATGCTCCCCTCTGTAGATGGGCTCAGTGCTTAATTTGGGTCGGAGCTCGGGCACGTCAGTTTGGGTGAGACACAGCAACCACAGAGGCCTGTAGGGACATGTTAGTTCCATCTTCAGGATCTCCCAGCATACACAAAGCTTTGTTTCATTGGCTTTGTGTTTTATTTTTTAAATGAAAACTCTCTTCTTGCCCCACACACTTGCCTTAGTTCTGTCACTCACCTCAAATTGAGCTGACTGTCAGCTCAGATAAGCCTTTAGCTTAAATGTGGTAAAGTGGTAAAGAGCTCTTCAACCCTGCCGGAGCCACCACTGGGAAGAGGACCATCATAACATTGTAACTTCATTCAAAGTTAACAGAAACAAAATAAAACTCACCAAAAACATTGTTTTTCCACTGTTCAAACAATCACCAAAATAAGTCCTTAAAACACCAACTTAAATGAGAAAAATGCACGTGTGCCAGACCAGATTTGTGAACAAACCACGGAGAGGCTGCGATAGCAACACAGGTAGAGGGAGTGTGACACTATGACTCCACTATATCTTTACAAAAACAAATAGTTGTTTGCTGCTAAATTAATGTTCTAAATCTCATATATATATATATATATATATATATATATAACCTTTACATTTGGCCTATTAGTTAGCCATCTTTAAGCAGTAAACCACTTCTCTCTGTTCTTGACAGCATAATGAATGATTTGGGTCAGATGAGTTCATTCCCAGAGAGAGACTTTGTTGCTTTTTGAGGCTGACTCAGGGCCAGCATTGCTTTTTATTGTCAAGTATTTGAACAAATATCAAGCCATAATCCTTTTACATTAGAGTCTTTGAAGTTTTGCTTAAGCATGGAATTCTTCTCAATTATTGTCTTATTTGCTATACAATCATGAAGGACAATTCATCAGTAAATTCGGCTTTAATTAGCCTTTAGACTGGGCGGAGGGGACTTCTTACATGACTGAGGTTACACAAATTAAAGCTTAAACTGACCTTTCGTCTGTGAAGTCAATTTAATCCTGTTTGTTTCACCATTAACTTCACAGGACAAAGAATACATGTGTTGACTTATTTGACAGATTACTGGTTGTTGAGATCATAAGTTCATATATCATAAGTTCATTCTGACAAACACTTTATTACAGTAGCTCAAAGCACTCAACCTGTAGGTGGTCTCATATCAGATTAAAACAGTACAAACATGTATTCCAGAATTGCTTGCGGTACAATTCACATGTTTTGTTCAGAGTCTTCCAATTTTTCAACAACTGATGAATCTGATGATAGAACTGATTATTTGTTTTTTGTTAACCTTGGGAAAATAGACCTATTTAAAAATGATCTCATGTATCTCTGATGTGAGATAATACAAGACAAGGATGCACCAGCCCCATGATAGTTCTCACCCAATAATTTCCACCCTGTTGCTAGATCTCAGCCATAGTCGTGCGGATACTGGTGTAGCTTGTTGTCTTCTGGTCTTCAAATGGCCCACTCAGCAACTCTGAACCTGAACTGTACCAGCAATCATTGGCTAATGGGACAGCTGACCTTGCTGGCTTCAAACAGTCAAATCAGCAAGACAGAAACCAGACTGTATCAGCAGGTAAAGAAGAAGCAGTGTGTGACACTCATAAACTGCTGTCATCGGAGGGATTTGAGAGCTGAAGTTTTGAACTGTTAGTCAGACAAGACAAATTTCAAGATGTCCCTTTGTGCCAAGGGGTGCACACATCTGACTTCTTCTCCCCAGTGTTCTCGTTTTAAATTTTTAAAGCCCCCCTTCAGTTAAAAATCAGTGTCTCTTCCTGTCCCTACAGTGTGCTGTTTAAATGATGTCTGTACAGAGTGTGACAGTAGAAGGATGTTTTCACATTCATCTGCTGAAAGTGGAAAGATGATTGTGATTTGTGATGTCACAAATAGTTTGGAAGTCAGACCTGGTCAGACCTGGTCCAGTATGCAACTTGTACAGTGATTCTGGATTTTTTAATGAGCTAGAAGGAGTAGATGACTTTTTAAGGAAATGGGGATATTATACTATTTCTGTGAAAAAAACATATCAGACACACATTATTGTTCCAAGTGGATTATTTGTATATATGTCTGGAGGGGGTCCTTAAATTTAAAATCTGTATACCTTACTGCATGAAACTCATTGGGATCAAGGTGACATGAGGGCAGGGATTGCTGTAGTGAGTTGGCAGGCTTAATAATGTAACTTACAGACAAAACAATACATTTTATAAAAAAATTTATTTAAAAAGTATTGTATAGTATAATGGCCTTTGAGCCATTGGAGCAGAACAGTACATCCCTACTGTGGGCTCTAGGAAAGTTTATTATTCTGGACTCTGCTGTAAAAACTACATTTGATAATCTTTGGTATAAAGAAGGATTAAAGGAATATAAATGATGTGTTTGTTATGTGTCTTTTTATACGTTTCTCAGATGACTCAAATTGTCTTTACAATAATACATATTAAAACTATGCAAACCACTTCAACCACGCCCCTCTACTTCTTTACAGCATGACTCACAGAGTTAAAACAAGGATCTGCTGATCCATGTTTGGATGTTACAAATGCAGCAGTGGCTATAATAACAGTGTAGTCTAGTATATGGGGAAATCAAAGCTGAAAATACTTTACCAGTGAAAAATGAATCATTAGTAGTCTAATGGACAATAAGACTATATAGTTCTTTAATTACTTTAATTTCTTAAGTTAATTTTCCAAATTACCAAAATAAAACATTGTTAGTTGAAAGCAAATTTGTTAACCTAAAATGGAAGTTTGATTAGAACTCCAAAATCGGCCAATAGATCTTCCTAAATGTTACACACTGAACTTTTAAAGGTGTACAATGCTAAATCAGTGAGGTACTCTTTTAAACAAACAGTAGACTTTTCAACTGGTTGCCTTATTTCTGTCAGTTTTCTTAAACTCCTTACAGTGTTAAGATTTATTTATTAAATATTAAAAATGTAGAACTATAAAGTCCCTTAGATGAATGAGTGTCTGTAATTTTAGTTTCATATCTCAGAACTTAGATAGCAAGGCCTTAAAAACGAAAATCAGGGAAGATCCGATCACTTCATAGATCTAGACTTCATAGATAAGCTGCAGTAATGAATCAAATGCTACTGAGTAGGAACGTCAAAGCTTTGTGCTCTTGTAAAATGTATACATTTAGTCTTTTTTCAGTGTGTAGGATTTAGTGGAATCTAGCAGTGTAGTTATAGATCACAACTTCATCGCTTTACCCTCCCTTTCCAAGTGCGATGGAGAAACTTTGGTGGCCACGAACCACAAACATGTTAAAACATGATGGTTGAACATGGCTGATGAAGGAATGCTCATTCTAAGGTAATAAAAACTCTTATACTAATACTAACTAAGTACAGTAATGATAACACAGTTATGCATATTATATTAAATTTCTGCCAATAGATCCTCCTAAATGGTACACAACGGACCTTTAAAAAGCTGTCTCATACAGAATCTAAAGGGTACCTTGTTCTTCTGTATGACACACTGAGGGGCGGTGCAAAACAACATCAGTATTTGACGACCTGGGATTTGGGAAGAGAATGTGTTGGGCTGTCACTTATCATGGCTAATAAAGACACTGTCTCTGTATGATGACCTCAGTGACTGTGCCTTTCTTTGCAGGGATGGCCTCACAGCAATAGTAACATTGGTCTGAAGAAGAGAGGAAGACATGAACAAAACACGCTAAATAATGAGCAGCATTTGAAGTCTTTGCCGGCATCAAAAGATGACACTGAGTTTTGGAAGCGTCCTCGGTGCGGAGTGCCAGACTATCCCACCTTAACGCAGGTTGGCCTGTCATACTACAACCTGAAGAAACTGAAAGGAGGCCTGAGTAGACAGCAGCGCAAGAAGCGGTTTGCTCTGTTTGGAGGGCGCTGGGAGAAAACCGACCTCACTTACAAGTAAGAAACACAAATATTCTGCTTGTAACTACATTTGTTTACTCAGCTTTTCAACTATTTATTACAGCTTTTGTCACTGTCTTCCAATCTAGAATTCACTGCTTAATGTTTTAAGGGATGTAAAATCAATGAAGATAAAACATGTAGAAAAATTGGCTCTGTTAGTAGTTCAGCCCATGCTTATTCCCAGGGTGTCAAATACTGCAGTTTTGTCACAGTAGACAGACGCACAAGGTACCCACAACCATCTGTTTCAGACACAGCAGGTTTTTATCTAACTCCAAAGTAACCCATCTGTGTCAGTTGACATAGGGTAAAGAGCAAGAAAGTCTGTGTAAGGACGTGTTTGGTGATGGGTCAAACCAACACAGGACTTTCACACTGGAGACTGGGGTTCATGCCCCATGTCAACCCAAAAGTCAACTTGTTTAAAGTTGACTTGCACCACAAAACATACAAATTTTACAAGGATATGGGGTAATTTAACTGTCATTTTACACCGCAGGGTTGTATAAATTTTTATCCTAGTTGTAAAAACTAAAAATCTATATACACAAATCTTGCCCAAACAATGATCTTTTCCTAAACCTAATCAAGTA